TTATAAAAAAGTTTATATCAAGCTAAAAAACACGTTTTCATGCCAACTTTGTTAATTTGGTCTTCAAGCATACAGTAACCTCCTTTTATAAATATGCAGTGAACAGATCTATTATAGGATTAACTTACACTTACCTCATTACTTGAATTATTCTAGCTTGTTTAGAACTTGAACATCAGTAATCTACATATTAAATATTAACATATGATTACATATTTATGATTTTACATAGGTATTGGTAAAGAGATTATTTTTATTTTTTTAAACAAATACATCCAAAATTATACATTGAAAAACTGTTGCTCCTGTAGTGGAGTCACCTTGAGAAGCTACATCCTTCTTTCAGTAATTCAGCCATTTTGGAAGAAGTCTCTCACAAGATGGGGATTAGGATAAATTGTTAGATTTTTACTGTCTTCAGGAGAAAATTGACTTCAATACCAATCATCTTAACTGTTTTTGAATCCTAACAGTATTACCTATTTTTCACATAATTTGCCTGACTTAGCTAAATAACTCATGATTGTTTCTATGCAATGATCTACAGTCAGACTACAGGTCATTTCCATGTGCCAGTAGTCAAAGGTATCAGATATCCCATAGAAGGTTCTAAAATAATTTTAAATTCTGGTAGCATCTTGGCAATGAATGTTGCCACTTCCCCAGTAGGGTTCTGTAGATATGCTAATTCTGGTATTTTTGTTATAAAATCTATCACATTAATATCTAGTTAGTTATCCCTTGAATGCATATGACTGTTAAATTCTGGTAGCATCTTGGCAATGAATGTTGCCACTTCCCCAGTAGGGTTCTGTAGATATGCTAATTCTGGTATTTTTGTTATAAACTTTATCACATTAATATCTAGCTAGTTATCCCTTGAATGCATGTGACTGTTTTCTTTAAACATGTTCTGTTGTGTCTTTTTGCTCACAACATTTACTTTCTGCCTAACCATTGCCCACAGTAAAGCAGCCCATCCCAAAGCCCAAAGCTGTACGTCTTAGTGTTCACCTATCAATTAATTCCTTTGCTGAGGACCTAGATTTTAGTCACCTCAGGACCCACTCTACTAAGTGTTGGGAGAAATACAAACCAGAGGCATCATCCTGGAACTGAGGATATAATTAGCAAGATGTCTGAAGACCAAAACTTTTACTAGTTTTCAACTTTTAAGAAGTAAGTGTATTTAGCAGCTACTTGTTTGGATCACGTCCTTGCCACTCCAGTGGTGAGGGCGGGATTCCTCTCCTAGGGTTATGGGAATGACTGACCACAAGACACCTGGCGGTGGGCAGATGAGATGGGCAGCGGCTTACTAGTCACACATCCTCAGAGACTGGGGAGGAGGATGCTGCATGCCATGAGGGGCTGCACAGCACTTGCTCTTAGGAGCAGAATGAATAATGGAGAGCCCTGGAAGGCAGGCTTTGTGGTAATAATAGGGTGAGGTGACCAGTGATTCCCACTGGAGGATGTGCTGGGCTTGTTTAAATAATTCCATGGGGTGGTAGGGAGCTGAAGTCCCTCACTCAAGAATCAGCGGGCTCTGTGCCTGTCCCCATGAGAAAGTGTGTTGCAAGCCTGGAGGACGTAAGCCACAGGAGCACGTGGGGAGGGGAACCTGTGATTCCGTTCTCCTGCTGTTCCCCAGATGTCAAAGCCCACACACAAAATGTTGGACCTTAAGTTTAGGCCTAATGCTTCATTACTGTGTATAAAACTTTGAATTAAATGCTGTGTAAAACTTAAGAATTTGTTATAAACAGCACTTGCCCTTAGGACGTATGCAGCCAAACAGGAGATTTGAAAGTCTAATAAATGTAAAAATATGTCAGGATGAATGTGGCAAAGCCACAGGGCTCACAGAGCTCAGAAGAGCAGAGATCACCTCTGCCTGCAGGAATGTAGGAGGGCCTGGTGGAAAAGGGGTGAAATTTCAGCTGGGTCTGAAGAAATGGACATGATTTCAACAGGTGAAAAGAGGAAGACAGTGAGCATGTGGAGGGATGGGCAAGAGCAAAGGCTTAGGAACAGGAAAGTAATGGATGCATTTAAAAATCTGATGAGAGTTTAAAATATTCAGAGGGAAGGATTTACAAAAAGGGTGAAGGGATTTTAATGAATTTATAACTTATTTTTGGGTGATGGTGAGCCAGAGAGGATTCCACGCTGGGTAATGGGGTAGTCAGAGATGCTTGGGTTTACTCTGGTGGGTTTGTGTGTGGGGTCAGGAATGGGAGGAAAGACTAGAGTTAGGGTGATTAAAAAGCTGTTACAGCAAGTGAGGAATAGAGGCCTTGAGTCAGGATAGCGGAAATGGAAATAGTAAGAAAGTGACAGATGTAAAAGAGAGGAGGGCTACATTGATAATATTTGCAGAGGGAGAGGTTACAACATTAATGTTCAGAGTCAGGGCAACTGACTCAGACCATTTACTGTGCAATGGAGGACAATTGATGCTATGAGGCAGAACATAATTACTTCTTTCCCTGACCTATTTGGAGATTGATTTGCTAGAGGGCCTCATATTTATTAGAAGTTTTATACTTCCTAAGCATTGGAGAAATGGAGAAGACCCTGAAGAAATAGAACTTTTCCCTCCTCAGTGGTTTAATTGTTACATTTTGAGCTGTGATATCTGCTTGCTTTGCATAAAGCATCCCTTCATCCCCAAACAGAAGATGGCTTCATTGGAATCCCAGGGACATGGCAGTCCTCATATATGGGAGGTGGCTCTCCTGGAGATGGGCTGCTGCTTGCTGTGAGGCTTTGGCCTGTTCTTCTTATTAACATGGACCATCCCAGGAGATGCTTACATTTTTTACATAATTCATTTTAGTGTTTATGAAAGGTTGACTATTTCTGTGGCAGGAAAATATGCGATACGAAATGGAGTCCACACCTCCAAGACTTGGTGACTCAACTATTCAGTGTTATCAGATTTTCCTTCCTCCTTGTTCCCCTCCACATTTATCACTTTGTCAAGAACCCACCAGGTCAATGCTGCCAGCAGCAAGACTTGTCATGTTTGCTCACTGCATCATTCCCCACTTGGATACTTGGGAGGGAAGACGATGTGCTGGAGTACAAGAGTTGTACAATATGGGCCAGATGTCCAAGAGTTGTTGGTGGAATGTCATTGAATGCATTTGCTGTAAAATGCAGGTTCTGAGTCTGTGAGATTAGACAAAAGAGGTAGAAGACCATAGTCTGTACATTAGAACGATAGACTCAGGTGGATCAAAAACATGTTCTTCAAGTATCTAATCATCCAAATTAGACCCATTCATATGACTCCAGTGGCATAATTTAAAACAAAGGATTTTAAACTACAAGCAAATTTTCTTCTTGTATATCACCCAGCCAGAGCCTTAACTCGATGTTGGTATGTCCTCTTTCCATGAAAATATTCAAGCCTAAGCTAACCTACTTTTTAGAGGGAAACTGTAAAAGGAATTCAATGAGCTTTTAGGTGGGTTGGGCCAGAACTGTAAGGTCTCTCCCAAATCTGAGAGTCTGTGGTTCTTGGGTAGAATGGGTTGGTAGAGAATCGTGAAATGTATGTTGCTGGGCCAAGGGCTCATGGTTTTATCTTTGAACTCTCATGACATTTTCTGTTACTTTACAGTCTGCTTATTATGTGCGTGTCTTGTCTGCCCAGTTAGATGCTGTATAGCCAGAGCCCGTGTCTGACTTTCCTGTTATAACTGGAAGTGTTTGGTACAGTGATTTGCTCATAGAAGGCATTTCAAAAATATCTGTGGAGATAAATGACCATATAAACACACAAGTAGATTTGCAAATATAGGAATCCTTGATCTTTCCCTCACCAAACATGGCAACGTCCACCACCCATTTGCTCAAACCAAAACCGCAGTCATCCCTCCTCTTTCTACTACACCCCGCATTCTATCCATCATCAAGTTGTGGCCCAGCTCTACTAACACCCACATCACGTTTCAGTGACCGTTCACCGTCTCTAACACTATCACTTGTTTAGATCAGGGGTCAGCAAACTATGGCCCTGCAGGCCAAATCCAGCTTGAAGCCTGTTTTTGGAAGTAAAGTTTGAATGCAACATCATCACAATCATCTTACGTACATATTGTCAATTGCTGCTTTTGGGATTGAAATGGCTGAGTTGATGGCAGGGAGCAACAGAGACTCTATGGCCCACAAATCTAAGAGCTTTACTGTAAGACCCTTAAGAGACAAAGGTTGCTGACTGGGCCCTCAATTTCCTATCACCTATCCTTTCTTGTTTGCTTTTTTAAATAACCCTTTATAAATGTAAATACCATTTTTAGTTCACTGGCTTTCCAATAGAGACAACAGTCAGAATTGGCCGATAGGCTTTTCTTTGCCAACCAAAACAAATAATCCTTTTTAAGTGTTAATTAAATCATAATCACTTTATTGTAAAAAATCTCTAAAGGCCTCTCATTTTAAAATTAAATCCAAATGTCTTACCACGGCCTGGAAAGCCTCTAGGTTCCAGCACCGCGTGCCTCTCCTTCCACGTGCCATCTCCGACCAGTTCTGCGCAGTCCACCCTTGTCTTTGGCAGGACCTCGGACCTGCTGAGCGTGCCCCTGCCTCAGCGCCTCTGCACTCTTCATTCTTCTGCCCAGAGTACTTGTATACATGTCTTCTCAGATCACAAGGTTTTACTGAACTCTCCTACTAAAAGAGTTCTCACATAGCCTCTGTCGTTCTCTCTCTCTTTACTTTGCATGATTTCTTCAGGGTGCTTATAGGAAACTAAATTATTTATTTAGTGTTTATCTGTCTATTGTCGGTCAGCTCCACTGAAAGGTAAACACCCCGAGGACAGATGCTTTGTGTATGTGGCTCACGACCGCATTGACAGTTCCTGCTGATGCCTAGCGCTTAGTAGATATTTAATAAATATTTGTTGAGTGAATTATGGTCTAGTTATATGTAGTGAAGATCCCTTGTCAACTAATTAGGTTTGTGGGAAAGAATTTATACTCATCCCCTAGTGAAAATACTGTTTATTAGTATCTTTTTTTGGTTTGTTTTTTCATCTACTGTTCATCTGTATCTCCAAGCAGCCAATGGGCATCTTTTCCATCCTCGAAGAAGAATGTATGTTTCATCAGGCTACAGATGTGACTTTCAAGACCAAACTTTTTGACAACCATTTTGGAAAGTCTGTTCATTTCCAGAAGCCCAAGCCTGACAAGAAATATGAAGCTCACTTTGAACTTGTCCATTATGCAGGAGTGGTAAGTTACTTCTAGACCCTCAGTCCTGAATTATCTTGCCTCTATTTCAAATGTACTCAGCCCAAATCTTCAGATAAAATATAAGTAAATATATCAGTAAAGTTTAGATTAAATGAAGAGATGAACAAAATAAATCTCAGTTCCCCCAAAAAGTTGGTGTAGACTCTTAGTACTTAGGAGATGAAATACCATACTATAATAACAGAGGTCAAAAATTTCAAAAATATACTCTCTCACCCAATTCAAAGTAAGACCATTTCAGAAAGTCTCGGAGACCATCAAAGGCATGGGCTTTTCCTTATTCATCCTTTCTTTCAACTGCACATTGTGTGAATGAGTGATTTCAACTGATCTTTTTACTGAAGTTTTTTTTTTTTCATTCTCTCACAAAGAGTGACTATGAGGTAATGGTCTCTAAACTCTGACCAACAAAGATTCCTAATGCCCCTCACTCCCTCACCCCATTTTCCCCCGGGGGTGTGTGTGTGTGTGTGTGTTCACATACGTGTGTGTGCTCATGCCTTTTCATTCTGCTTTTATGATTCTGGGCGGTGATTCTGGGTGGAACAAAGAGAACTGATAAAGGATAAAATAATACTCGACCTAAAAATGACCTGCCAATTTTACGTAGATATGTTTGTAACTCTCTTCTTTGATATCCTTGAATATTAAGTATAATAATACGTACAGTGAAATGCTGTAACGTTTGTGGAGGGCTCACCTTGTGTCAGAGGCAGTTGTTTCATTCCATCCGTTTTCTCCTGTGTCAAGGAGGGCTGATGTGAATTGTCCTGGAAACGCCGTCGGTTCCTTCCACCCGCTCTGGCCTCGTGTTCCTCTCGCTCCCTGCTTCTTCTTCCCACCCCTCCCTCCCTTTCGCTTCCTTTCCTTCCACAGTGTAAATAGTAAAGCCTGAGAAGCTCTTTTGGTTGCACATGGGTTTCTGGAGTATTTATTCTGTACTGTTACATTAAACTGATTTAAATTCAAATGACATACACAATGTATGATTTTTTTAAAAGAATTACATAATTTGCTAAGGAACTTACGCATTCTCCTTTTTTGTTACCTGAACTGCATGCCTTTCCAAAGGTGCCTTATAACATCAGTGGCTGGCTTGAAAAGAACAAAGACTTTCTTAATGAAACAGTGGTGGCTATATTTCAGAAGTCATCCAACAGACTCCTGGCAAACCTTTATGAAAATTACATCAGTACTAACACTGGTGAGTCAAACAATCTTCCTCAATTTTTCAGCCTTAGAATGGAGCCCACGTCTGCCTCAGAGCTTATAAAAATCCTGGCTTCTTTCCTGAGAGATGTGTGTCTGCTCCCCATGGCCTGAGTCATCCCCTCTTATTAGCCTTTCTGTCCTCTGGCTGGTGGTTCTTCGGGGAAACGGTGCTCTAAGGTAGACAGATTTCAAGGAGACTGCTCCAGCCTGTTTTTATCTTCTACTCAACCAAGTTGCAAAGAGAGCAGCAAACCATGTTTTGATGAATGGTTTTGGGGAAATAACAAGCTCCTTTAATACATATGCCCCAAATATCTTGGAATTCTCCTTCATAGTGCCTTTATATTGCAGTAATAGGATTTTTATGGGCTTCATGAGGGCAGAGATTATGTCTCACTTGTTCAAGTATGGCCTCAAGCATGTAACAGATGCCTGTTTAGCAGGCACTCCATAAATACTTGCTGACCAACTAATAACTAATCTTATTTAGTAGTTTGTAATTTACAAACTAAGGCTTCCCAAGTAGCTTAGTGGTAAAGAATGTGCGTGCCAACGCAGGACATGTGGGTTCAATCCCTGGATTGGGACGATCCCTTGGAGAAGGAAATGGCAACCCACTCTAGTATTCTTGCCTGGAAAATCCTATGCATGGAGGAGCCTGACAGATTACCGCTCATGGAGTTGCAAAAGAATTTGACAGGACTTAGTGATTAAACAACAAACAACAACAGCAGTTTCCAAACACTTCTAGATACGTTATCTTACTCAATCCTGGTCATGATTCTTTCCAGGAAATCTCTCCCTATCTTACAGGAGCAAATACAGAAGAATTAAATAACACCCCCAGATTTCACAAATCTACGTTTGAAAGACAAACCCAGGCATATTAAAAATTTTTAAGAGTTTATTTGAGCAAAAAACAATTTGAATTGGGCAGCACCAAACCAGAATGGGTTAAGGGCATTCCACCCACAGGAGCTCAAGGAGAGACTTTTATAGAGAAAAGGTGGAGTGATTTGAGGATACTAGTGATTAGCTGTATCTAAAGCCCACGTGGCTGTTTGTGATTGACTGTCCTTAGTTTCAATTTTGTAACCTTGAGACTCTCACAGGCATAGAGTTTGGTTTGCTTACACAGGCTGCCACAGCATTGGAGCACCTTAGTCTGATGGCCCGCTTGCTTCATTGATTTAACACTACTAAATGGCAAAGCTGAGGTCAGAAACAGAACTTGTGCTTACTAGCCTCATGCCTATTTCACTCTCACTATCTTCTGGAAACAAACAAAGCAGAGAGATGGACAGACTCGCTGGATTCAGGATCTGATTCAGACTTCTGCTGCGTGAGACGAAGCCTTTGATGAAAAAGGCCAGGTTGCTGCCATCAGCCTCACAGCTGGGCTACTGCCTGCGGCAGGGGGAAGCACACCATGGTTCGTAGCAAAAGTCCAAACTGGCAGCCCCTGAGCAGAACCTAGAATTCAAACATGGTTGGTCTACACTGGTTTAAAAAATCAGATGTACACACTTGTATTTCCTTTTTCTTTTGAAAAATGGAAATTATGGGGAAAAAAAACATCTGGCCAACCTTGTTTTAGATGCCCTTTTGAAAAAAGAATTGATGCTTTTGAGCTGTGATATTGAAGATTCTTGAGAGTCGCTTGGGCTGCAAGGAGATCAAACCAGTCAATCCTAAAGGAAATCAATCCTGAATATTCATTAGAAGGACTGATGCTGAAGCTGAAGCTCCAATACTTTGGCCACCTGATGCAAAGAGTCGGCCAATTATAAAAGACCCTGATGCTGGGAAAGATTGAGGGCAGAAGGAGAAGGGGACAACAGATGACAAGATGGTTGGATGGTATCACCTACTCGATGGACATGAGTTTGTGCAAGCTCCGGGAGATGGTGAAGGACAGGGAAGCCTGGTGTGGTGCAGTCCATGGGGTTGCAGAGACTCAGACACAACTGCACAACTGAATAGCAGCAACAATAAAATCTGGCCAACCTGGTTTCAAATGCCCTTGCGGCAACGTGGCCACGTGTTCTTTAAGTGTGGTGTGTCCTCTCACTTTCTGATGTTCTCACCCTCCTCTTGTCTTACATCCAGCTTCAGTAGGTGTGCCCTGTCACCTGTGTGGGACTCCTGATCAACTTGGTCAGGGAATGGAGAAATTTAGCACTTCCCGGCTCTGAAAGCACATGATGACGTAATTTAGGAGCATGTCTGAAATCCCGTGGGCCCACCTCAAGAGGAGATTGAGAAATGGCAGCTATTGTATTTGGACCCTGAAAATCTGCAGGCAGTGCATTTGCCTGATTCTAATAGCTTCTAAAATACCTCTGAGAAGTTTGGTAAATAGTGACCATGTAAATATATGGCTCGCAGATGAGTAATTCTCTGATCATAAGAAATCAGAGAGTGGTTTGAGAGAGGAAATTATCTTCTGACTCTTCAGGGTGTGCTGTGTTCTTTGAACTAGAAGACAAGAGTTGTCCAGAATATCCTTTTACATAATTCTTTTAAGACCCCTGGAAAACACTTGCCTCCAAGTTTCTGACTCATCCAAACACTGAATTACTCATAATAACCATACTTTCTTCTGGAGAATCCAAGTACTGTAAATCAGCTACAATTCTTTAAAACAATAAATGGGAGGCAGCAGCGTTCCCTTTCCCTGGGTAAAAAGTGAAAGTATGAAGAAGTCAAGTGATTCCCTTAGAGGGCGTGGAACATGTCAAGAGGACATCAGTGATTAAACTATGATCCTTGCCTCAGCTGCTGCTCCAGCTAGAGAGTATTTTTTCAGTTTTTTATGTTGTTAGCTGGCCCATTTTTTCCAAATTGCCTATGGGTTTTGTACATCTTAATGAATTAGCACTACACAAATGTTTGTAAAACAGTTTGGCTTAGCATAGATTTGTTTGCTTCAAGAAAATGGGAATGGATTGTTTTTTACAAATTACAAAAATAATGCATGAGTGTTGCCCCAAAGACAATATGGAGAAACTAAAAAGAGGAAAATAAAGGTTACCTATAATGTCACAGAGATAACAATGGCTAACATTTTAGTATACACTGTACCCAGCCTTTATTATGTATGTAGTCAGCCATAATACAACTACACACACACACACACACACACACACACACACACACACATATACACACACACACTTAAGATCATAATATACAGATATTTTGTAACCTAATTTTTCCCTCTCAAAATAAATCCTAGAAATCTTTCCAGGTCAGTAATATGTATCTGCATCATCATTTTAAAAGATCACAGTGTTTCATCATATGCATGCTCTTTTTTTATACTTTAACTAACCAATCTCCTATTGTTGACATTTAAATTTTTGCTTAATTTTTTTATAATGACTAAATAATGCTTCAGTGAGTATCTTTGCACAGTTGCCTGATATTTCTTTGAGAAAAAGCACCAGAAATAGACTTTGTGTTAAGACATAAATATTTTTAAAGCTTTTGTAGACATTGCCTTATTGCTTCTGGAACTTTGACACATTTATGCTTTTATCACCAGGGTTTGATATGTGACGAAAAGGAGCCTTTTTGTACTTTTTTTCTTCTTTTTTTAGCTCTACAGTTTGGGGAGAAGAAACGCAAGAAAGGAGCTTCATTCCAAATGGTTGCATCTCTGCATAAAGTAATTTTTAATTGTATCTGTTCATATTTTAGCTACTTCACAATCTGCATATGTTATTACTTATTTGTAATTTTACATCTTCATATAAGGATAAAGTATCTGAAGTTAAGCAAGTTGGAAAAGTAGAATATTATCTTGGTATTTATGGATTTTAGTGGACAATGTTTTTCTCCTACTTAGATCTCGTTTATCAGCCTAGCACTCATCTTACCACTGATGAAAGTATAGGCTCATAACAACTCACAGTTGCTGGGAAGCTATCTCCTTCCCTGCCCCTGCAGACTTCGGTCCCTCCCTTGCCTCAGGGAGATACCAACTGTAGTATAATTGGTGCATTTGTGCGCGGAACTTCTGCAGGACTCAGACTAAGCTGCGTCCAGGCCATTGGTTTTTTCTGCCTCTGCCCTGCTTGGCGTCCCTCCTTCTCCAGATAAAT